CATATCGATACGTCATATACATACCGGACAGGCAGGTCAATACTTATGCATAAGCATACTATAGAGACTACCCTTGTTGTATACAATACATAAATTATTTTCCTATATCTTAATATATTATAGGTCAATTTTTAATTAGAAAAATTGTAAAACGTGAAGTTCAACACTATGGTAATAAATTCAGAAATAGTGATGTTGCATTAAGGTGGCTGCGTTCTTTGCGAGCAGATTCTAGGGAACAATTAAACCAAATATCTGCGTTCTGCAGAAAACGTGGGACGGTCATGCATGAGTGAATCCGTACTAGAGTCGCGTCGTCGCTCAAATCGAAAGCTAGCTAAAGAAAATCTAGCCCGTGGACTGAATTTGCCCGCGTCCACTGCACTCAGTTTACCCGCAGACATCGCGTCCAAGAAGTGCACTGCCCGCAATTGGTACTGATAGACTTGATGATATTACAAAATGTAATTTTAATAAATAACTGTCTCCGTGTATTCTCTAGTGTTCATTTCCAAGTTAATATCATTGTAAATCATAATTCAAGTCAACGTCCGAGCTTAGTTTATGATACAATTGCCACTAAAAATGCCCAATAGTATATTGACCATACGGCCGATAGGGTAACTTTACTCTATGTATTAAATTAAAATTATCATTTGTTGAGGCTGTCTTAATTACAAGATCTGTTTTGCTAGTGTGCAGTTACTCCATAATAATAACTCCATAATTATAAATTGTACCGTATATCAGGTTTGTTCAGTATGAATATTGATATTGACACATATATAGTACAGTGTGTGACGACAGGGACACAAACATGTGAGTAAAAACTTACATATAATTTAGCTGAAAATTATTTTGTAATAAATATGGATAATGAAAACTGTGTAGCTGTTTCACTGATTAAAAAAAAATTCTGATTAAATAATAATTCATAATTAGCAACGCTTTTGTTAAACGCTTTTGTTATATAAATCACATTCTGTAAGACAGGTGGGATTTTAATTGGCATATGTAAAAATTACGATATTTAAAATTGGCCATATTAACTATCGACCACCTTACATGACTTTCATAAATGCTAATTGGCATCCTTGATTTAGTAATTTATATTGTTGTTGTCAAATACATGTCTATAATTATCAAAGCTATATAGACTTAATTACAGTATATGTCTATATATCATATACATATATGTAGATAATATATAATCACACACTAGGTTATAAACTCAACATTTTATTGCACTACAAACAGTTTCATGATGATGCCTCAATGACCAGAATATTTTCTCATATCTTAATATATTATAGGTCAGTTTTTAATTAGAAACAATTGTAAAACTATGGTAGTAAATTCAGAAATAGTGATGTTGCCTTTAAGGTGACTGCGCTTTCTGTGGGCAATGTGCCCGCGTCGCCCGCGGTGCTAGTGTCGACCGCGCCGCCAGTCCCTACAATACAGCATTCCATATATATATATAATAATAATAATAATTATAATTACATATATATATATACTGTCTCTTATACACATCTAGATGTGTATAAGAGACAGATGTTAGGTCATACCCTCTTGAGACCCGACATTAAAATATTCAACAAATCATTGTTTTAAGGCTGAAAAAGGACATTTCTATCCTAATAGGCCTTTTCCACGCTGCGGTAGACATTCGATCAATGACAAACAGTGCTGAGCAGCGAAGCGTAACCAATAGAAAATAACATAGCGTTTCGACAATATTTTCGGAGGTCATGTTACTAAAAAAATCATAAATCCTTAATGGAAGATCGTGTCAACATACATTTTTCATTAAAATGTTCGCAAAGAGTATATCTACGTCCTGTATTAATAAAAAAAAATTTGAAAATTTGTTTAGTCTGTCAAACACTTAACTGGAAAATGGAAGACCGATTTTGTGTAGTGTTAACACACACATTGTTCGACCGAATGTCATTTAGAGTGCCGGCCATATTTTCGGAGGTCATGTTACTTAAAGAATCATAACTCCTTAACGGAAGGTCCTATCGGCATATTTTTTTTTCTTTAAAATGTTCGCAAAGAATATATC